TTTTTATTTTTATTATAATAAATATATTTTTATTAATAAAAATATATATTAAATGTTTTTTTATGTACCTAAGTCAATTGGGAAATCTTACTCAAACTGGGGGGCCTTAGTTCCCCTATTTCCGATTATAGCTATTTCTACGAATAATTAATTTGTTTTGTGGTATCACATTTTAATACATGTAATAATTAATACTTATATTTAATAAAATATATCACCATATCAGTGTTCCCCCGTGGATAAGATGAGTAATAAAATAATACCCTTACACAAGATTTAACCACCCTCTTACGCATTCCATAAAAACGCCCACGTAAAAGATTCACATTAACCAATCAAATACAGCAAAAAATATTTCAAGAATCTCACCAGAGATCGCTAAACCAGTTTTTGCGGGCTATAAAAAGGCCATTTCCCCCAAATTCGAGGGGTTCCTTTACGCGCTTGGTTCTCTTACAGTGGTTCTTTTAATGCGTAATTCTTTCACGGTTTCTGAACATTCCTCTAGCGGACACTGGGACGCCTTGCCATTCTATCTCTGCATCTCTACGGCCCTCTGGAACTCTCAACCAAGATACACAAAGTGAAAATGCGTGAGTTTATTTTTCATTCTTAGTTACAATTCTATATAAAATCTGCACTATTTTTACCCTCTTTCGTAATTACTGAAAATATTATACATCTTATTTTCGGTCGAATACTTTTGGTGATATAAATATTCTAACACATATAAAATATTGGTGTTTATTTATTTCTTTTTATATACATTTATATACAGAGTGATTTTTTTATAATAACCCACTCAATTACTTACAGAATAATAGTAATTAAAAAAATTTTTTTTAATATTATCTTTAGTTACACATTATTCTTGAATTATTAACTATGTAATACTTTTTAAGTTCATCCTTTATGCCTGGTAAGGGTGTCAACTTTGTTTTTTTAAATGGTAACACATATTTTTAATTTAATAAAATGTTTGAGTTTTTAATTCAATAGTAAATGGCATTTGAATTTTTAATGAAACTTAATTTGTTTATTAGATATAAACATTTAAAGTTTCAAATTTTTGAGTTAATATATAGGTATAATACACAAGGGATTACAAATACAGGTAGCTAATTGNCACATATTTTTAATTTAATAAAATGTTTGAGTTTTTAATTCAATAGTAAATGGCATTTGAATTTTTAATGAAACTTAATTTGTTTATTAGATATAAACATTTAAAGTTTCAAATTTTTGAGTTAATATATAGGTATAATACACAAGGGATTACAAATACAGGTAGATAATTGGTTTTTTATGATATTGCTATCACAGTCACGGATTGTTTATTATCAATTATGACAATCAATAGATATACTATTTGTATTGTCAGTTAGTGTATTTATAAACTCACAACAATGTACCTTACTATCATTGATAATAACAATGCTGTGTACCTGCTAATATCGATGTCATCAAAAATCAATTAGCTAGACATTGCCCTTAAAAATTGAAAAACTTTCCCTCGTTCCCCGCAAACGGGGGAGATATACAAAAAAATTACAAATTTAAAAATCGGTAAATTTTGTCATTTTTTTCACTTTTTTTCTTAAAACTTCCATAACTTTTTCAAAAATAAACAAATCAACATAATTTTTTTTTAAACTAAAACCTTAGATATTTCCCTTTCATTTGATATCAATTTTTTGAAAATCTAACACTTAACCTTTTTATTATTATTTCATAAAAATATATAGTGCAATAATTTATAAGCTGAAAGTATTTAATAGTAAATTTAACCTAAATCAAAAAATTATCAGTTTATTATAACCCCAATAAATTTCAAAGTAAAATTATATAATATCAAATCTAATTCGACAATATACTTTAAAAATATTAGAAATTAATTATTTTAATTGTTTGCATGAGAATAGCTGGTTAAGCTACTTTTTATTTGAATAAGGATTTTTTTTTTAAATTTTTAATGGTAATATCTTCCACTAAATACAAATTGTAATCATTTGACGTATCGTTGAAAAAAGTAGCCTAATTGAGGGTTAGAAAAATAAATCGCAGCCACAAAAAAAACACATAGTAAAATAATATTAACATGAATAAGACATTTATTTTTAGGAGAGGAGACAGTAGGGTGGTCCTTATTTTTTCGAATTTCAAAATTTCTTTCGGGACACCCCTTCGTTTTTTTCTTTAGTATCAAAAATTATATTCTGAAAATTTAAAATCATTTGGAAAAATTTAAATCGAGGCGCACAGCATTTTAAGGTTTTGACCTCGAATTTTCGAAGAATATTCTATAAAACGATAAAAAAAAACTTATATTAGAGGTTTTCAAGTGATTTTTTCAATAAAAGTCACGATACAAAAAAAAACCTTATTTAAAGACAAATATTTTGATATATTATTTTTAAAAATTTATTGAATTTTTTACATGCGATAACAATATATTGATAATTTAAAAATAATTAAACAACTTATTTTTTATACTTCTTTACTTTAATGATTTCAACGCTCNACTTATTTTTTATACTTCTTTACTTTAATGATTTCAACGCTCCATTATAACCTTTTCAAATGTTTATACTGACTTGAATATAAATTAATTAAGTTATTAAGTTGAATTTTAT